GCTGCAGGGAGGAAATGGTTCCTAAAGATGGGTCGTATAATGCCCCAATTAATTCTGGAATTTTTCCTATCATGTGGTGGAAGCATTAATCTACTGCCTACCCCAATCCAGGCTGCATGATGGGAGACACTGGTCCTGCCAATAAAAAGGCCTTGGTGTCTATGGACAAATAGAAGGAAAGCCAGTTGAGGAGGACACCAATAAATTTTTAACTTCTCAAGAGTTTTACTTGTAACTTAACTTCTCATGGAAGTCGTGGATCGGGAGCTGTCTGGAACAGACTGATGTGCAGTGCCCACCTCAGCAAGGCTCTCACTGGGCAGCTGCTCTGGCCGCTCTTGCTTCAGGACTGCTACCCTCTCAGGTGAAGGGGCCATTGCAGGGAAGGGGGTGGGAGGACACACACCTGTAGCGAGCGGAACCAGCTCAGACCCGATTCTCAGGGCTTCTCCTCCAGCACCTCGGGACCCAACCTTACCCAGATAGGGCAAGGCTGGCCACGGAGCCTAGGACAAGCCCTTGATCACACCTGACTGGCTCTATCCACACTGTCTCCAGCCCCACCTCCCACCAAGGTGATAGCTGGCCGGTGTACCCTGGGGAAATACATGACCCTTGCACATTTCAGATCTAGCTCTCCCACCAGAGGCGCTGGGAGCACACACACTGTTCAGGGATGCTCTCACACAGGGACACCCTTTCGAGTCTGGGACAGTTACCTGCTTTACCTGATTTCATAGAGATATTCACAAGAAAGTTAAACACCATGAGAAGACAGAGGAATTTGTTTCAAATGAAATAACAAGAAAAAAACTCTAAACAAAGAATTAATGAAATTATAAATAAGTAATTTATCAGATAATGAGTTCAAAGCAATAGGAATAAGAATGCCAACTGAACTTGAGAATAGATGAACACAGTAAGAAATGTAACAAGGAAATTGAAAATATAAAAAGAACCAGTCAGAGCTGAAGAATACAAGAATTGAAATGAAAAACACACTAAAAGGAATTAACAGCAGACTAAAGGACTTGAAAGAAGGCTTAACTGATCTAGAAGGCAGAATGATGGAAATCACCCAATCAGAACAGCAAAAAGTAAAACAAGTTTAAAAAATGAGGGCAGTTTAAGGGACATGTAAGATTTCATCAAGTGTAATATCATGTGCATTATAAGAGAAGAGAAAAGGAACAGGGTTAAAGATATATTTGATGAAATTATAGCTGAAAAATCCTGAACTTCAAGAAGGAAACAGATAACCATGTACAAGAAACCCACAGAGTCTCGAAAGAGATGAATCCAAAGATATCTACACCAAGACTTATCATAATTAAAATGGCAAAAATTAGAGATAAAGAGAATTTTAAAGAGGAGGAAGAGAAAAATAAAGAGTAACTTACAAGGGAACCCCCCACATAGCTATTAGTGATCTTTCTGCAGAAGCTTTGCAGGTCATGAGGGAATAGCATAATATATTTTACTGTTAAAAGGGAAAAAAATCTACAACCTAGTATATTCTACCCAGCAGAGTTATTGCTCAGATTTGAGGGAGAGATAATGAACTTTTCAGACACAAAAAAACAAAAAGAAATCATGAATACTAAACTGACCTTAAATAAAGTGTTAAAGGGTCTTCTCTAAGTTGAAAAGAAATGATAATAACAATAAGTAAGAATTTATGAGAAAAGAAAAATCCCACTAGGAAAGGCAAATATATAGTAAAGGTTATGGACCAAATTTAAGCTAGTATGAAGATTAAAAGACAATGATTGTAAAATCATCTATAACTACAATATTTAAGGGATAAATATGGAAATATAAATATGACATCAAAAACACAAAAAAAATGGATGAGGAAAGTAAAAAACATAGATCTTTTAGGATGTGTTTGAGTTTAAACAGAGAACAGTTTAAAACAAGTAGAGTTACAGGTCAACATAAACGAAGCCACATATATGTAATCACAAATCTAAGACCTATAATAGATACACAAAATTAGAAGGGAAAATACAAGTATACCACTAAAGAAAATCATAAAAACACATGGGAAAAAACAAAAAAAGAGAAACAGAGAAGAACTATAAAAACAATCAGGTCCCATTTGTTTATTTTTGCTTTTATTTCCAATATTCTGGGAGGTGGGTCATAGAGGATCCTGCTGAGATTTATGTCAGAGAGTGTTTTGCCTATGTTCTCCTCTAGGAGTTTTATAGTTTCTGGTCTTACATCTAGATCTTTAATCCATTTTGAGTTTATTTTTGTGTATGGTGTTAGAAAGTGTTCTAGTTTCATTCTTTTACA